TTTTTCTACGGTAACAAACACAAGAATAATCCAACGGTTGACAATAAGAGACTGAAAATGGTCGGTTTCAATGAACCGTCGATTCTCCAAGCACCACCAAAGTCACCAGTATCTCGTTGCCGAGTGGTGGTCGACGGTCTAGTTGTGCCGTTAAAATTAGGGTTTGAACCGTACAAGTACTGTATTCCTTCCACGTCATCGTTCGTCAAGTCAACCTTACGTCTCCCCGTCGTGATCGTCGGATACATGATTGAATCCTCCACCGAGGAATGTCCTAAACCAAGAAGATGACCAATCTCGTGAACCGCCACGGATTCAAGATCAACCGCAGCAGTAACGGAGAGGAAACTGTCGAGTTCGCCGGAAACAACCCAATTTTCGTCTGCGTCGAGGTGGAATTTCCCGCTCGGAGGTGAGAAAGCGTGAGCTAACGTTCCCAAAACGCCGTCAAATGGCTCGCCGTCTCCGTGATCGCCGGAGTAGAACCCGATCGTTATGTCGGAGGTGGTGAATGACTCGATGAGCGTAAAGTTCAACGCGGTCACGTCCGACCAACGACGGAACGCGCGTGAGAACACGCTCTTGACCTCTTCGGTCAACGGGTTTCTTGGGTCGAAAGCGTAGGTTAAGTCACGGCGGTTTCTAGGCCACCGTGGCTCGCCTGGGAACAGCGTGTAATGTTTGACCGCGTGCAACTGCGGTCCCCGGCCGGGGGAGAAGTTGACTTCGAAAGTCTTTCTTCTCCCTCCGTGCATCAGAGAAGTACCGTTGACCACGTCAGGATTCCCGCAACGCGGGATCACGATGTGTTTAATGGTGAGCGCGTCGAGCTCTCCCGTGACATTGAGCCGGAAATTCTTCTGGTACAATTCCACGGCGGTTTTGAGTACGTCGTCGAAATCGTCCGTGAAATTGCCTGAAAACGTTTCCGGGATGTAACCAAAACGTTGGAAATATTTTTTGAGGCGGTAAAGACCATCCACGGTTTGGCCGTGGTGACAACCGGTGAAATTGGAGAAAGCGTCCCAGAAAACGCGTGTTGTGTTACGTAGAGACGGTGGTATCGCGGTGGAGTTTGGGAAGAACCAGGCGGAGACAGGAGAAACAATTAAGAATAACGATAAAAACCCGAAAACGCAAAACCTCATGGTGGTTTTCGGATTAAAGGTAAAGCCACCCAAAAACAAAGGGAAAAAAAAAAACAGAAAATGGAGAGGTAATATTTAGGTTTTTAG